TTACGCCCTGTCAGGGCTCGTCTTGGAGCCAGCGTCAGATCACTGATGGATTCTCCTTTTCCCCCTCACTAAAGAGGTTCGTTCTTAATGCCTCTGGTGGTAACTCTTCGGTTGGGGATGGCTGGGCCTGGTTTTAGTGGCTGGTGGCAAATGCACGGAGGGCCACGGCGGATATTTCCGCAGTGGCGCAATTACGGGGAACTCGGGACTGGCTTCATAATGTTTCTGGGTCCGTCGCTGGGACTCACAATGGCCGGAGGAGCTTCACACCTCGTTCTTATAACTCCTTATTTACTAATGCCTCTTTGCCTCCTGCCCCAGTTTGCCTTCAGTCCCCTTTCCTGTTTCTACTGGCTAATGACTCCACCAAAGATTTTCTAGACTGTTCTAATGTCACCTGTTATTTGGCCGAATGTTGGAATGCCTCTTGGTCCGTGGCAGTAGTGATGAAAATTCCAACCTTTGTGCCGATTCCTGTTACTGCCAATTCTGACCATTTTCCTCTTGTCAAGCTGCTAAGACAGCGTAGAGATTTTGGAATTACGGCGGCCATAGTTACCGCTGTTGCAGTTTCCGCAGCCGCAGCTGTTACAGCTGGAGTAGCCATGGCCAGCCAAGTACAAACTGCTGCCACTATTAATCAAGTTATTCAACAAACATCCACTGTACTTGAATCTCAAAGTAAAGTCAATCAACATATTCTACCTGGGATTTTGGCTGCTAATCAAAGGATAGATCCGCTTCAAGCTCAAGTTGAGGAATTGTCTGATCTGGTACATTTGGGTTGTATTGATCAACGTGCACATTTATGCATAACCTCTGTCAGATTTAATGATTCCAGGAATGCTTCTCGCATCATCGGAGAATATCTATCCGGAACCTGGTCCTTGGAAGCAGAAAACTTGATCCAGTCTCAACTGACTCAGATTGCTGTTTTGAATAGCACCCGTGTCGAACCAGTGACTCTGGGTCAACTCACCAGTTGGCTGTCCTCTGCCTTTTCCTTTTTCAAGGAATGGGTGGGAGTGGGCATTTTTGGGACAATGTGTTGCTTCGGTATTGTACTTTGTTTGTGGCTCCTCTGTCGCCTTAAAGCTCGCCATACGCAAGAAAAGGCAATGATTGTACAGGCTCTTGCAGCTCTAGAACAGGGTGATTCTCCACAGGTCTGGCTTGCTCATTTGAAAATGTGATTGGTTCCCATGGAGTGGCTCCTTCAGTGTGTTAATCTTGTGGTACCCAGAGACGGGCAACTTCTACGCTCATGTCACAACCTAAGACAGGGGATTGGGGCCTCCCCAAAGACGGGTAAGTGACATGAGGGCAGTAGACGACCTAAGACAGGGGCCACTTGATTCCGCCTCCACTTTGCGAAAAACAAAAAAGGGGGACTTGTGGTGAAGCCCCTGGCCCTGGAACAGGAATAAGTTTCCTGTTCCTTGTTCCGCATGTGGAGGCAAGTACCACTGAAGCGTGAATCAGCCTTGTGGGCTTCTTGTCAGCCTTGTGGGCTTCCTGTTTATTTGCCCTCATGAGAGCCTGGGACAGATTGTACTTGCTGATTAGTTGGCCCAGGTGGGCCTTGCATGACCGACCTGCAAAACCTGACCTAGTTTGCTTAAGGCTGCCCGAGACCGCTTCCTGCAGAATAGAGTGTGTGTGTGTGTGCTTAACCCTGAGTGTGGGAGGATATATAAAGGGGGGGAAAAATGAAATCTCTCTCTCCTGGATGAAGAACCCTGGTGTCCTGTGTCTTTTAACCTCGCCGTCCCTCGCCGGACTCGGCTCCTTTGGCCGGACGCGGCATCTGTCTGTTCAGTGGAATGCAGGCGCCAGGTCCCTAGGACCTGTGGTCTAGATTTTAATAGGCAGAGGACGCTGGTGAGTTTGAAACCCGTCTCCCTAACTATGTCTGAACCCAGTTTTTCTGTGTCCCAGGTAAGTGCAGGACCCTACCCAGAGTGAGCCTGTGGGAGGGTGACTTGTGACTTTGTGCCCTGAGCCCTGCCAGCCCAGTCTTCCTCGGCCGAGGGCTGGACTCCAGGGATCTGGGCTCAGCCTGGGTTGTTCCCCCTCTCCTTCCCGTCAGTCCTTAAAATCTCACTTTTTATCTGTTCTCAAGGAAAGCGGCTTCTCCTTCCTTTGGGGTGAGGTCCTCACCCTTTCCCAGCTTCCTTTCCCCAGCTGTGAAAGGCCACTGTATCCATGGTTAACATAGGAGCTCTCCTGTGCTGGGTTAATGTAGGAGCTCTCCTTTACTCCTCACATCAACCTAGTGCAGGAGAGCTCCTACACTAACCCAGCACAGGAGAGCTGTACACTAACCCAGCATAGGAGAGCTCCTACATTAACCTAAGCACAGGAGAACTCATACATTACTCAGCACAGGAGAGCTCCTACATTAACCCAGCACAGGAGAGCTGTACACTAACCTAGAACAGGAGAGCTCCTACATTAACCCAGCACAGGAGAGCTCCTACACTAACCCAGCACAGGAGAGCTCCTACTAACCCAGCACAGGAGACCTCCTACACTAACCCAGCACAGGAGAGCTCCTACATTAACCCAGCACAGGAGAGCTCCTACATTAACCTAGCACAGGAGAGCTCCTACATTAACCTAGCACAGGAGAGCTGTACACTAACCCAGCACAGGAGAGCTCCTACACTAACCCAGCACAGGAGAGCTCCTACACTAACCCAGCACAGGAGAGCTCCTACATTAACCTAGCACAGGAGAGCTCCTACACTAACCTAGCACAGGAGAGCTCCTACATTAACCCAGCACAGGAGAGCTCCTACACTAACCCAGCACAGGAGAGCTCCTACATTAACCTAGCACAGGAGAGCTGTACACTAACCTAGCACAGGAGAGCTCCTACATTAACCTAGCACAGGAGAGCTCCTACATTAACCTAGCACAGGAGAGCTCCTACATTAACCCAGCACAGGAGAGCTGTACACTAACCTAGCACAGGAGAGCTCCTACACTAACCCAGCACAGGAGAGCTCCTACACTAACCCAGCACAGGAGAGCTCCTACACTAACCCAGCACAGGAGAGCTCCTACACTAACCTAGCACAGGAGAGCTCCTACATTAACCCAGCACAGGAGAGCTGTACACTAACCTAGCACAGGAGAGCTCCTACATTAACCCAGCACAGGAGAGCTCCTACACTAACCCAGCACAGGAGAGCTCCTACACTAACCCAGTACAGGAGAGCTCCTACACTAACCCAGCACAGGAGAGCTCCTACACTAACCCAGCACAGGAGAGCTCCTACATTAACCCAGCACAGGAGAGCTCCTACACTAACCTAGCACAGGAGAGCTCCTACATTAACCTAGCACAGGAGAGCTCCTACTAACCCAGCACAGGAGAGCTCCTACACTAACCTAGCACAGGAGAGCTCCTACATTAACCTAGCACAGGAGAGCTCCTACACTAACCCAGCACAGGAGAGCTCCTACACTAACCTAGCACAGGAGAGCTCCTACATTAACCCAGCACAGGAGAGCTCCTACATTAACCCAGCACAGGAGAGCTCCTACATTAACCCAGCACAGGAGAGCTCCTACACTAACCCAGCACAGGAGAGCTGTACACTAACCCAGCACAGGAGAGCTCCTACATTAACCCAGCACAGGAGAGCTCCTACACTAACCTAGCACAGGAGAGCTCCTACACTAACCCAGCACAGGAGAGCTCCTACACTAACCCAGCACAGGAGAGCTCCTACACTAACCCAGCACAGGAGAGCTCCTACACTAACCTAGCACAGGAGAGCTGTACACTAACCTAGCACAGGAGAGCTCCTACATTAACCTAGCACAGGAGAGCTCCTACACTAACCCAGCACAGGAGAGCTCCTACACTAACCTAGCACAGGAGAGCTGTACACTAACCTAGCACAGGAGAGCTCCTACATTAACGTAGCACAGGAGAGCTCCTACATTAACCTAGCACAGGAGAGCTCCTACATTAACCTAGCACAGGAGAGCTCCTACATTAACGTAGCACAGGAGAGCTCCTACATTAACCTAGCACAGGAGAGCTCCTACATTAACCCAGCACAGGAGAGCTCCTACACTAACCCAGCACAGGAGAGCTCCTACATTAACCTAGCACAGGAGAGCTCCTACTAACCCAGCACAGGAGAGCTCCTACACTAACCTAGCACAGGAGAGCTCCTACATTAACCCAGCACAGGAGAGCTCCTACACTAACCTAGCACAGGAGAGCTCCTACATTAACCTAGCACAGGAGAGCTCCTACATTAACCCAGCACAGGAGAGCTCCTACACTAACCCAGCACAGGAGAGCTCCTACATTAACCCAGCACAGGAGAGCTCCTACACTAACCTAGCACAGGAGAGCTGTACACTAACCCAGCACAGGAGAGCTCCTACATTAACCTAGCACAGGAGAGCTCCTACACTAACCTAGCACAGGAGAGCTCCTACACTAACCCAGCACAGGAGAGCTCCTACACTAACCCAGCACAGGAGAGCTCCTACACTAACCCAGCACAGGAGAGCTCCTACACTAACCTAGCACAGGAGAGCTCCTACACTAACCTAGCACAGGAGAGCTCCTACATTAACCTAGCACAGGAGAGCTGTACACTAACCCAGCACAGGAGAGCTCCTACACTAACCCAGCACAGGAGAGCTCCTACACTAACCCAGCACAGGAGAGCTCCTACACTAACCCAGCACAGGAGAGCTCCTACACTAACCTAGCACAGGAGAGCTCCTACACTAACCTAGCACAGGAGAGCTCCTACATTAACCTAGCACAGGAGAGCTGTACACTAACCCAGCACAGGAGAGCTCCTACACTAACCCAGCACAGGAGAGCTCCTACACTAACCCAGCACAGGAGAGCTCCTACATTAACCTAGCACAGGAGAGCTCCTACACTAACCTAGCACAGGAGAGCTCCTACACTAACCCAGCACAGGAGAGCTCCTACATTAACCTAGCACAGGAGAGCTCCTACATTAACCCAGCACAGGAGAGCTCCTACTAACCCAGCACAGTGCCTGGCAAACAGGAGGGGACTGAGAAAGCTTAGTTCTCTCCCTCTCTCCACCTTCCCCTATTCAACATGGGGAGGAGTCGTAGATTTAGACTTGTTAAGTCTGGTGCTCTACTTATTTCTCTCTAAGGAAACTGTCTTTGAATTCTTGAAGCCTCTCTCCTCAGGTTACAGATCATTGTGCTGTGGACATAGTAGGAACTCAGTGCGAGGGACTGAGTGGTTCTGAGGACTAGGCAGGATGGCAGAGGAAGCCCACAGCCCCTCTGAGGGCTCTTGTTCCCAGTGACTCCTCTCATGGTTCCCTAAAGCTCTTCCTGTTGCTGTGTGGCACAGGGTAGGAGGTGGAGAAAGCTGTCCCTTTATTTTTCCCTCCTGAGCTCAACTCCAGTAAGTGACTTCAGGCTTGCCCCTCGATTCCCTTGCGATTTAACTTGAAGGCTTTGGTGATACACATTGTTAGTACAATAAGGATTTTTTTCTTAAATAAAGAGAAGCTTTGCGTATGAATAAAACTCTTACAGAAGAAAATCTATTTTTTAAAAATCCCTTTATTGTAGAATAATCTTATATAGGAGTCAGATACTCCTCCTGCCCCCTCCTGCCAACTAGGGAGACTTGAAGATAGCTCTCGGTGTTTAGGGAAGATCAACAGGCCATTTCACTTTTCCTAGGTGGGTCTTAGTAAAGGAATTACCCTCCCCTTCATTTATGAACAAAGGGATGTCGGGAGGGCCGGGGTGAGGAGCTCAGCTGCCTGCTGGGGAGCCGAGCCTAGCCTATCGAGTACTCGGGGCGGCTGGGCAGGGTTCTGTACGGATCCGGGCTTAATGAGCCTCAGGGGGCCAGGAGCAGGTGGAGCTAGTGACCTCCCATTTTAATAACTGCAGCTAGCAAGAGGGAGACCTTGTAATGTCCGCAGCTGAAACAGTTTTCCTGGAGAGAAGGGACCGACAAGGATGCCAACTCAACCCAGGGGCTCGGTTTGACATGGGGACCTCCTGAGAAGACTTCAGAGGAGCCTCTGTCTTTGCCTCGTTCTGACCCATTTTGGACAACTGCATAACTGTCTTCAGAAGTCAGGTGAGTTCCATTCCATGTAGAGATGGCTCTATTCCGAGAGCGGCAAGGATGTCCCTTGGGACTTGGTGATGACGGTAGCATTCACTGATTCTGTGATGAGAACTTCCTATATTTTTCCGTCTGGCTGACTCCACACACAAGCTACACAGGTTGTAAGGTAGACCTGGGGAAAGGTGAGACCTACTAGGCCGGGCTGAAGAACTACTCCTGAGTCTCTCGTTCTACTTCTGTAGATTCTCGTCTACGACGTTTCTTCCCTAAACCACAGACTTCTTGAGTAGCTGGAGCCGTTATTCTCTGATTTTCCCGGGTGCTGGCTGGAGTTTTTCATGAGTGTTGCAAGCGACCCTCTGACTGGGTCCCGTGAGGGAGCCGGCATCAGGCCAGGACTGCAGCGCCTCCCCCCATATCTAGTTCCGCGCCCGCGGCCCTTTCGCCTCTAACAGCACGGTGCTGGCCTTCTGTCTCCCCCCAGGTCTTGGCCTCTGCCATCCCACCCCGTTTTCCTACTCCGGGTCTGACCTCAGCCCTCCCCTGGTCTCTGCTGCGTCCAGCTCCTTTCTCCCAGATCCCCCTTTTTGACGTTCCTTTCCCCCTTTTAAAACCATCAACATCGATTCATATTAATTCCACGATTTGTGACGAGTGTTGGTGAGTCTCACCGTGACACTTCTGTCCTGCCTGCGTCCTGTTTCACTGTGTCCACGTCCCTCTTCCCGCTCTCTGCCTGCCCCACTTCCCTTTCTCTTCCCTCATAGTCCCTCTTCTACTTTGAGGTCACATGAGATAAAACGCGCTGCTTCTCTTTCTGTGTCTGGTTTATCTCACCTAACACGGCCACCTCCAGTTCCATCCGTCTCCTGCAAATGACATGATTTCGCTCTTCTTTATGGCTTAGTGATATTCCACTGTGTGTGTGTGTGTGTGTGTGTGTGTGTGTGTGAGGTTTTCTTTCTCCACTCATCTGTTGAAGGTCACCTAGGCTGTGTCCCTAACTTGGCCATTGTGAACAGCGCCATAATAAAGATAGGTGTTCCAGAATCTCCTTTGTAGACTGACTTCATTTCCTTCAGGCACACACATCGGGTGGGTCACATGGTAGTTCTCTGTTTAGTTTTGAGAATCACCATCTGTTTTCTAGTGGCTGTCCTAGTTCACATCCCCACTAACAGGGTATCAGGGTTTCTCTATCCCACACCCTCACCCACATTCGTTGTTGTTACTTTGCTTCTTTGTGTTTTGGCAGCAGCCATTCCGACGGCAGTGACGTAGACCTCAGGTTGTTCTGATTTGCATTTCTCTGGTGGCTAAAGATGTCGCATCTTTTTCACAGACTTATTAGCCATTTGCACTTCTTTGCCTGTGAAGCGTGGGTTCAAACCCTTTGTCAGTTTTTTGATTGAATCGCTGGTTCTTCGGTGTTGAGTTTTTTGAGTCCTTTATATATTCTGGGTATTAATCCTCTGATGAGTCCTGCCAGAGGAACGGCTAGCAAGGATCCCTCCCTCTGAGGTTGTCTTGACTCTGGATTGCTCACTGTGTCGGACACAAGCTTTTTAACTCGATACCCCCCCATTGGGCGACTCTGGCTTCTACTTCCTGAGCCCTGGAGTTCCGTCAGGGAGTGGCTGCGATGCATGGCTTTATTTGTCCCTGTTCCCTGGGTCCGCATGTCTGTTGTACGCGGACGCCATGCTGTTTTGTGGCTAGGCTGTGGTAGATTTCCACACTGGGTACTGTCGGGTCTAGCTTTGCTCTTTTTGCCCAGAACTGTCTGATTCCATGAATTCTCAGGATTTCTCCTGGCTCAGTGAAATGACATGGGTGTCTTGTCGGGGACTGCACTGAACCTGCAGATTGCTTTTGGTCGTATGGCCGTTGTGACAACACTGTTTCTCCCCGACCGTGAACGCGGGGAGTCTTTCCATCTTCCAGGATCTTTTTGGATTTCTTTCTTCCGTGTTTTGTGATTTTAACTGAAGCTGTCTTTCTCCTGGCCCCGGAGCTGGGGTCTCCCAAGACACTGAGGCAGCATGGAGATCTGCAACTCCTGCCACCGTGTCAGGAAGGTTTCAGCCATGTCACTTGGAGTGCAGGAGGGAGCTCATCGAAGGGATACGAAAGGGAAAGGGACACTCTCAAGGGACAGAGTGGGTCCCCTCAGAGAAGAGAGACAATGTGCCTCTCCGGAACTCCAGTTTTATTGGGGATCCCAGAGAAGCTTCCAGAGAGTCCTGCCCAGGACCAAGGTGACATCAGACTTTCAAGTCCCCCCTGTCATGCACCCTAAGTCACCTTGGTCCCCGCTGACTGGTTCTAACTGGATTCTTAACCGTACATTCTTGGAGGTTTTATGGCAAGGGAAAACTGTCCTTATCTCCCAGAGTTTCAGGATCTTGTCACATGAAGTCCCCGGGCTCCTCCTGTGGGTGGGCATTATCTTGAGCCTGCATCTCCCCTGTACTTAGCAGGTAGTTTGCTAGGGAATGTGACGTACCCTGTCCACTGGGACCAGGCAGGGCTGCAGGGAATTGCTTCTTGGAAAAGAAAGCGCGTGGGAGGGTCAGCGCAGTGGCTCGCGTTCCCACCGTCCTCACGGCTGCTTTCTAGGGCCTCTACACCGAGTTTCCTCAGCACTTTAACCCTAAAGGGATGCTCTAGGGTGTGGATCTACCACCGGAGCAGCCATCCTCAACGTTAACCGCCGTCTCAGGAGATGCGCTTCACTCTCCTATATTCCTCTTTCCCCCACGTGGCCCCGATAGTGACCCACCCCATGGAACCCTCACCCTAAGCCAACCCAGAAGGACAGACCCCTTTGCTCTGGAAAGCCCCAAGTGCCAGGACCTAAGCCACTCCATGACTCCCACCGCCTAGCTCTGGCGCCCCAGCCTGTCCCACAGCCCCACAGCTACAAGTCCAAGCCCCCCCCCAAGCTGGACCGAACCCCTCAGGGCCTGTCTCCCCTCTGTAGAGAGATGGCCTCTGTCTGTCAGCTTGGCTCTCTGCCTGGTCTCCGCCCTTCACTTCCCACGGCCTCTCCTGCTTTCTCACTTCCCTTCAGATGCTGGATTTCATCAAGAGCCTTTCCTGTGGCGGTGCAGACGATCCCGTGGTTCCTCTCCTCTGTTTCCACTGCGAGGACCTGAGCTCTGGCCAGCTCTGCACTCCCAGCAGCCAGTGGCCCATCTCTGTCCTCTGACCCAGCGCCTTTGCTGGAGCAAGGACTTCCTGGTTGAGATCTGACCTAAACCCATTCCTCCGCACGGACCACCTCCCCTGGCACACGCACAGAGCGAGAAGTTTCCTGGGTCCATTTTATCGCCCAGTGAACACAGAAGTAATGGAGTCTCGCCCACGACGCCTTCTGCTAAGGAGGAGCCAGAGTGAGTAGCAGGGGTCGGAGGAAGAACCCGGAGGTGAGTGTGGTCCCAGAACCCAGAGCAGGTGAGAGACCTGTCCCTGTCCCGCGGTGTGAGAGGGGGGTTTGTAACAGCCGGATGACTTCCTGGGCCACCAGGATCCGGGAGCTACTGAGGGCAAAGGCAGCACCTGTCCCCTGGCTGCCGCTGAGGTGGTGGGAACCCCCGCTGTGGCAGGGCTGAGGGAGAGGCCCCGGCTGCTTCAGTGGCCGCTGATCCTGCCCCCTGTGCCCTTGGGCCCCCCAACCTCTCCTGCAGGCGCCCATTTCAACCACGTCCCACGTCCCTGGCTTCTGGAACTACCGCGTACGCAGGAAGTGAGGCCGCTGTGAGAGCCGGCTGTCACCTCAGAGACCTCACCTTTGAGGATCCCATCTCTGGCCCAGATCACCAGAAACCAGCAGGGGCACCCAGCATTTTGGAAGACCAAGTTGGTGACCACCTCCGCGGAATGGTCTGGGAAGGCCTTTCTGTTCCAACACCACTCCTGCTGGCAGCCGTCTTCTGTCACAGACCTCCTGAAGGGGGGACCACTCCTGGTCCCTCAGTAACAGGCTGAAGAGAGCTGCCTTTGTTTCTAACTAGTCTTCCCCACCTGCGGTGGACGCCCGCTGATGAACTGTTGCCTTGTCTGAATCGACTCCTTTGTTTTCCTTTTTTCCCTTCGTTGGTAATTCCCACCAGGAGGGCGGCATCCCCAAAGTTGTTGACATTAGGTCTCTGATGCTGAGCTGAACCCTGTCATACAGGGGCCTGCAGGATTTCAAGAGAGATGGGGCCCTGCTGGTGAGGAGGAGCTAGAGTGGATGGAAAGGTGAGCCCGTGGCACCCGAGGGGACTCGCAGAATCTAGAAACTGGAGGAGCTGAGTTAAAAGAGGCATTTTAGTTCATTTTAGCACACATTTATGGGGAGTACACTATGTCCTAAGCACTGAGCTAAGCAGAGTGGACACAGCCATGAGTGAAACTCAGTTCCTTTGGGAGTCCACAGTCACTACAGGGTGTTAATTGCACCTGATGGTGGGTAAGAGCTTAGACTCTGAGCAAGACTACTTGGATCTGAATCTCACTTCTGCCACTTAGAATAATGGGTGACTTTGGGCACGTTTATAAGTCTCTGTGTTTACATTTCTCCATTTATAAAATGCAGACAGTAATAGTACCTGCTCACTGGGTTGTTGTGAGTGTGTGTGTGTGTGTATGTGTGTGCACATGTGCATGTTTTACACTGTACCTGGAGTACAGTGAGCATTGCTGTAGGGTCTTTCAGTCCCTAGTCCCCCTTTCTTTCTGTTCTGATCAAAATACACAGACTGCCTTGAAAACTCCGAGAACCACTGGATGTTTTCTCCAGTAGACCTGACATTCCCAGGCACTGATAAAGATGTTTACGTTGTTGCTCAAAACCCTGAAAGAAAATTGCCCTGAACCAAAGTCCCTAACCTGGTCCTTTGTCATGGGCACCCCTGGATGGGGCATCTCCTGTTGCCGTCTTCTGCTAAGAAATGCTACAGACCCCTCTGTACATAAGTTCCTCCAATGAGACCTTGGGACTGACCACGCATTGGGCATTTAGAGCTTCTTCCTTTGATATTCCAACTGGTCAGGACAGTTTAGAGCAGTCCCTTTTGGAAATCCCCTGTTGTCAATACTGGAGGTGACTTCACCTTCAAGTTCAGTTGGGACAGCGTAACTATCTGTGTGCCTGTTAATACTAGGTAAAATCATGGAGGCCCATATCAGGAGCCGTGGGAACGGAGACCAGGGAAATCTCAAGAGGCAATATTTCCCTTACAAAATTAAGTGGTCTCCTGGCCTCTTTGTCTGAATCTCTCTTTGTCTTTTCTGAGTCTCTTCCGAACCACATGCTTCTTCAGCCAATCCGCTGAACCAGTGATCTGCCATCATCAGCCAGTGGCTGGCTTTCTCCATGCCCCCTTTGACAAGGGGCTCTCCTCCAGGAAACAGAAGCGGTCTTCATCTTTATATATACACACATTTATTTTTTTATTTATTTTTATGTGGTGCCGAGGATGGAACCCGGGGAGGGCCTCGTGCTAGGCGAGTGCTCTACCGCTGAGCCACGACCCCAGCCCCCTCTTCACCTGGTACTCCTGTCCCTCCTAGTCTGCCTCTGTCCTTCACACTGTCCACCTGAGCCCTGTCTTAAGGTCCTTGCCGAGGATACCCTCAGTTCTCATCACAGTCTGAGCACCCCACTTTCCGTCATGGGGATGGGAGGTGGTCTTTCCCTCTGGGCTTGGTGTGCTCTGTTGCTCTGTGCCATCAAGGGACGTGGGGAAGATCAGGCACCAAAGACCAACTCAGGGAGGGAAACTGGGGATACCATGTGTGGACCCCTCAGGGTACTGGCCGAGGAGACGGGGACCTGCTCCTCTCTGACTGCCACTAACTCCCCCTGTGACCAGTATCTTGCCAACTTTTAACCACACAAGGGACCTCTTTTATTATTTCTCTTTGCCTGAACTTCTTCATGGTTTGAAAGATTTTATCTCCCCCCAAACATCCTGCAGTTTAATGAATTATTTTTCCATGTTTTTTGTTACCAGATATTGAACCTAGGGGTGCTTAACCACTGGTTTTTAAATTTTGAGACAGGGTCTTGCTTAGAGCCTCGCTAAGTTGCTGAGGCTGGCTTTGAATTTGTGATCCTCCTGCCTCAGCCTCCCAAGTGGCTGGGATCACATGTAAGTGCCACTGTGCCCAGCTACAATCTTTTACTTATATATGTTTAAGGTATACAACATGATGTTCTGATGTGCATATGTGTAGTCAATAATCACTACAGTCAAATGCATCTATCACCTTCCGTAGCTACCCTCTGTCTTTCTGTGGGTACTACATGGACTTAAAATCTGCTCTTTAGCAGATTTTTAGCATATGGACAATATTGTTAACTGCAGTCTTCATGCTGTGCATTAGATCTCTAGATCCTTCCCCTCTGCAGCCCCCTGGCCACACTGTTCTACTCTATTTGTATTTATTGGACTCTGTATGTAAGTGATATCATAAAGTGCTTTCTCCTTTTTGTGTCTGGCTTTTTCCACTTAGCGTAATGTTCTCCTGTTTCACCATGTTGTCATAGACAGCAGTGCCTCCTTTTCAATGCTGAGTAATACTCCGTTGTGTATACACTCTACATTTTTTAAAAAAATTCATTCATCCATCAACGAACATTTAGGTCATTTCCATATCTTGGTTATCGTGAAGAATGCTTTAGTGAATATGGGATTTCAGACATCTCCACTAGGTGCTACTTTCATTTACTCAGGGTCTTTACCCACAAAAGGGATTGCTAGGTCATTTTCTATTCCTAATTGACCAAAGATTTTAATCAGTGAGAGAGTTTTATAGTACAGAATTGACAAAACCTTTACTTAAACAACCTAAATATAAGTAAGCCTTACTTTTTAAAAGTCTTAGTGGTATTATTCCTGGTCGGAGCGTGATTTCCACCAGACCTACCTTTCTTTCTTTACAATCAAAATCTTTATTACCAGTGTCCTCCAAGAACACAGGAAGAAGACAGAAACACCCAGCCATGGTCCTCCAGGAGCGCATCATCGGTCTTTGGCGATATTTATTGAAGAGATTTTGAGAAACATTCAATGGAGAGAAAGCATGAGCATTTCTGTAAACTTATTAGTGAGACAACACCATTATGACCAGCTATTCAGCCTCTCCCAACTCCCGGTCCACAAACCAAACTCGCTCGCCCGGTTTGGGCTGTCTTCCCTACTGTGGCAGACCACTGCGTCGGCCTGTCTGGGTTGCTGGAGGGTGGTGTGAAACTTCCTGGAGAGCGGTTCATTACACGTGCCCAGGGACTATCACCTGTGTCTCTGGCTCCTATTTGCCAAAACTGTTGCTACCTTCAAATCTCTCATAGCATAAAAAACAGATGGCCGGGGGATTAAACAGTTTGATATCATCATTCTCGATCTCACACTTTTTCATCTCTTGAGGTGACATGATTAGAGTGGGTGGTTTGAGGATTTAATGTCAAATCTACCTGGAATATACCGATGGCTTTTTGTAGACCAAAATAATGTGGAGGGAGATGGCAACTCTCTTGCTTTAATTCCTAAGAAATAACTGTTGGGTGTCTTATGTCTTCGTACCTGCTGTTAATGCTTCTGATCCTCTCAGTAAATCCAGGCTGCAAACACTTTGCTCTTATTTCATTTTGGGGTATTTTAGTGTGGACAGGTGACCTTGAATTTGGTGTTTTGTTTCAATTGGTCTTTTTTTGAACAGTCTTCTCTTCGGTCAGTAACTGGCCTGATTGCAGCTTGTTTCTGTCCTAAGAGGTGTCTGAGTTCTTCAAATCAGAGTGTGATTCCCTCCTCCAAGTTCCCATCTTCCACCCACTTTAATGGATCTGAAAGGGCTCTTCACACCATTTGAGCATCTCCAGCCCCCTCAGGAGTCCAGAGCAGTTTTGAGCTCTCTCCTCCGATGCTCACAGTGTGGTCAGGGATCCCAGGAGACCCAGCCCAAGGGACAGAACAACTCCAGGACCCCACAGTGCTTCTCACAGAAGGGTCCCTCTTGGTCCCTGTGGAGGGCATCTGCATGACAATAGCCACCACGTGGCGTGATTGAGCGTGGTTTCTGAGATTCCCATCAAGGCAGTGATGGAGGGGGTGGGGGCGGAGGTGGGGGCCGGATGCCTTGTAGATCTTTCCGGTCCTGATGAATAGGGATGACCAACAGGGATGGTGCCCACACTCAGTGGTCACCACGACTCCCGGCAGGTGGGGCAGCTGGCCTCTACTTGGAGCTCTGCTAGGGAGGCTTCAAAGGCCATGAAGGACCTGCCTGAGGTCTTCCAGCAGCCTGGCTCTCCCGGAACTCAGAAGTGAGCCTCCCACAACCCCTTAGGGTCCTCTCACTGAAGGGTCCCCAGGAGGCTCTAAGCCTACACACACACACACACACACACACACACGTCTGCTTCTTTCTCTTCAGGGGGAAAGACGGACACCAGGCCATCAAGTCCCCTCTGTTGGAAAGGCCACCTCTGCACCAGTTCCAGTTGGCCATCAAGTCCCCTCTGTTGGAGAGGCACAGCTTCATGAAGCCATGGAAGTTAACAGCCAGGTGGGGAATTCCACACTGGAACACTCAGAAGTCTGATTGATCAGGTTTCTTCCACATAAACAAAGAGAAAAGTGTATAGTAAAGCAACGAAGAACACGTACAGCAATCATAAATACATATCTATTTTTTCCTGATTTAAATATACACACTGTGCCGGGTGTGGTGATTCGTGGCTGTAATCCCAGCTACTCAGGAGGCTGAGACAGGAGGATCTCAAGTTTGAGGTCAGCCTGGGCAATTTAGCAAGAACCTGTCTTAAAAATGAAATTAAAAGGGCTGGAGATGAAGCCCAGAGGTAGAGCATCGCTGGGTTCACTCCCTGTACTGGAAAAATCAACACTCAAACAAATATCATCTTAAAATACTGCAAGTCAAATGAGACAGTAGAAGTCTTATGACAAACAATTATGAATTTTTATGTCTTATAATGTTATTATGACTTTGTTTTTAATCCTCCAGACTTTTTAAAATATTGAAAACAGCTCTGTCTCTCCCATTACTCCTTGAGGGTAACCCTGAGCGCCCAAGGCACCCAGGCTGAACAGTTTGGCTGGATGATCTTTATAGTCCCTTCTACAGAAAAAAAACAGAGTTCTAGGTCTGGGCCTTCCTCATGCTGTTGGTGAGTTGAAGTGGGGGAGTAGGGGGTCCGATCAGATGGCACTCGGGCCTGGCTCAGTTCTGCATAGCACCAACTTCTTCCGCTTTGACACTGTTATTCAGAGCTGGGGTCCTTTGTCTTGCGTTGAAGTCTCTTGGCTGAGTTAATGAGTAAAGTTTGCTCATCACTGTAGCCCACGCCAGGACTCCCAGGAGCTGTGCAGACCATGGGTAATGACGGGGGACGTGTGGCATTTTCAAGCATTTAATCCATCCAACTCCACTTATGTACCCCACAAAAAATGATATGCTAATAATGAATCATTGTTACCATCTTAAGCATCTTAAATCCCCTGGAATTTGTGTGACATTGATAAAATCGTGTATTAATTGATCATACTCTTTTTTGAGGGAGGAGCTGTTGGTCATTGCTGGGTGTGGAGAGGGACTACTGGACTATGTAAGACCAACCTAATCGCATTTACATAAAAACATTTTAGTAGACAAACCTTTTCAAATACAAATGCTCCTTGATTTGTTAATCCCGATTAACCCATACTAAGGTAAAAGTATCATTATGTTGACAATGCACGTCATACATTTAGACCATCAAACACCACAGCTGAGCACCATGGTTAACGGTCAGTCATTGTCACTGCCTGGATCACGAGACAGCATCCTAGTGAATATCGCTCACCCGAGAAAGGGTCAAAATTCAAAATTCAAAGTCCAGTTGCTATGAACTGTGCACTGTTTTCTCCACACTGTAAAGAGGACCGTCATGAGTCAGGGGCCATCTGCAGAGTGCATTATGGAGGTCTCTGTCCCACCCTCGCTTCTGGGAAACACAGGAAGGAGGTGGAGCCGAAAAGACAGAAATCTGAGGAGCTCTGAGGGAGGTGAAGGGAAGCAGACCCAACGGCGGTGTGAGGACCTTCTTCTGCTTCAGTTGCACCTACTGGACATCAGTAGTTGGCAGAGGTCTAAAAAAATCCCAAATGCTGGCCAGGATTGATTCATTAAGCCTGTTCAAAAAGTGACTGTTACAACCTGTCACATGCCAGGCCCTCTGTGGGACCATGTCGGCAAATGAGTGCAGTTCTTGTCTTCCCGGGGTTCTGGAGCCAGAGAAGAGCAGTTCACAGCCCGCATCAGTGCCCGGGGTCACAGCACACGGGGCAGAGGTGGGGGACTCTGTGGGTCATCGGCACCACCTCTCCAAGGAGGGGAGCCTCGAAGGAAGTTCCAGCCAACCGCCGAAGACGTCCGGCAGAGGGAGCCTGGTGGACAAGGGTGTGAGCGGAGCCCAAGCAGGCTGGACTTGAAGCAGGGAGCGGTGAAAATCTGAAGACGAGGCGAGTCTTGGGCCAGGCTGGAAAGACTCTGACCCTGTGACAAGGCACGGCTTGGCTTAAAGTGCTCTTTTCCCACAACTCAACGAGGTGCTCATTCCCCGGAGCAATGAATGGACATCCGGCCACTAGGAAACCAGGCTTGCTCCCCGAGATACAACTGGTACCAGATAGGCCCTATTTACAACACTTTCACTTTGTCTTTCTAAAAATAATCTTAAAATTCCTATAAATCACCCATTTTTACTTATGCAGGGTATAAAGATATTTTTAAAAAACAGAACGTTTTAAATTTGTTATAAGAATAGATTTGATTTGACAAACCAATATGCCAAATAGATGAATGACAGATATTTTCATTTTATAGAAATAACTTACACTTTAAAAGCATATTCATTAATATATTAATAACTGTTTCTCAAGGGTGTTTTTTTGTTCTTTTGTTTTTGAGCTTGTTAGTAGATGGTTAAATAAGATTGTATTTAAAAAAATATGTCAGTGAATAAATAAAACATGTTTTAGGGATAACTGTAAATTCTGATACAAAGGTACAAATGAGCTGTATATGAGAAGTTAAATAAATAGGACCACGTTGCAGTGTCTGGTGTGTGTGTGTGTGGTGTGGGGGGTAAAAGGGAGGAAGTTGAACAACACAGACATACACTGAGCAGAGATGCTCAGGAAATGAGGGTCTCTAGGACATTATTTTGTGAAAACACATGCCAACTGAAAAGCTTAGGCGAGAACGAGAGAAAGGCGGTTTTGTGGGTCACGTAAGTGAAGAGACGAAGGGACCCTCGAGCACTTATGAAGTGTAATGCAACGAACCTCTGTATTAAGCCTGCAGAAGAGCGTGTGCACGAGCTCACGTAACTCACAACGTGTGCATTGCCTGGTGTGCACTGACGCAGTGAATACTCGCCAAGCGCACACGGCTGGCTCTTTCTTCCTCTCTTGGCATTGCCATTGCA